GTCGGTGAATTAGGGCGGTTCCGCCTCGCGGGAGGATTGAGAGGATCCGGAGGAGACGAAGAGACGACCGGGCGCGGATGCGGCCAAGTGCCACTGAGATACTGCTCACAGGGAGGGCGCGCAGAGGGCAGAGAAAGGAAAGAGGGCACGGATGGAGAGCAAAGAGGGTGCGGAGTGGGCATCGAAAGATAACAATGAGGGCAGAAAAGGGAGCTTAAAACAGTGCGAAAAGAGTACCGAGGGGGCGCAAAGAGGGCGAAAACAGAACGGGGGGAGCGCAAGGGGATTGCGAAGAAAGCAATGACGGGGCACGGTGGTACGCAAAGGTTGTGCGGAGAGGGCAACGGGGGAGCGCAAAGGGAGCATGGAGGAAGTGCAAAGGGAGCGCGTAAGGCACCGAGGGAGCACAGAGAGAGCGTGCAGAGGACACGGAGGGAGGCGGAGGGAGGCAGAGGGAGGCGGAGGGGGCAGTGAGAGGGCCTGAGGTGCGGGGGCAGTAGCGGGTTGCAGGCAGTGATCAGCTGCGTCGCTCTCCTCGGCTGTCAGGGCCTGCGAGCACGGGGTCTGCGCTTCCACCACACGCTCTCTCCTCGAAATCTTGCTCCACTTTTGTGAATAGACCTACATAACAATTCCCTTTACAGAAAGAGAACCGGACGTAAAATATGTGCGGGGCATTTTTAATTCAAAAATGTCTATTGTTTTCCTTTTTAAAAAAGTCGAGTGAAGAAGAATAAAAACATCACTCGCGAATCATCAAATATTTAAAACATCCGCTCGATTTATAGGCTACCATTGTTCTCTGTACATTTCTTTCTTCTTCAGCTCCCTGTATCCCTTACTTTCTGGAGGTATTTTAAAGTTTGCATTACAGAATATCGATTTCTTACAATAAATCATCGATATCAGTTAGAAGGTAACTTCTATAGACTATTTCTATTACAGTTAGCTCTCGTTTGCACGAATTCGCTGAACACGAATTTCACCGTTAACACGAACAAAACTTGGGTCCTAAAAAGGGATTGCAATACTAATTATTGTTAAAATAATGCGAAGAGATTCTGGAACTCAAGAACATATGCGCAAATTATCTTCTCCCCTATACGTCACATAATTTTTTGTTTTGTTTTTTGACTAAATAAATCTAAATACATACATTTATAATAATCGGATAACACGAATTTTTATAACACGAACTCCGATTATTTCGGTCCCTTGGAATTCGCCTTAATGAGGGTTTACTGAGGCCTTTACACAGCGAACAGGTACAAAGTAAAAATTTAATGGTTTTCCTCTTTATATGTAGACACCGTACTGCATATACATGTAAAATGGCGGCAGTTCCTATTTTGCCTATTACCAGTCACCAAAAATGAAACGCACTAGTTACAAGAGAATGGGCATAAATTACTGGCAAAAAGCATCCGATTATCATCGGTTGGGCGCCGCTATTGCGCTAACGACCGCCGTCGGGAGTCCTATCAACTGATACAGGGCTCCCGCTGTCCACGCAGTTGCCCGACGATTTTACGATGAACCCGTTTGGTGCGTCGAAACCGCACCCGTGTTTACATTTATAAGCCACAGCAGGCCCAATGAAAAGAGTCTGGCATATGAACAGGGCAGCGAGCGAATTCTGTCGATCGTTATTCAAATGAAGACATGTTGAGAGAAACTATCTACATCGCGCGTATGTTCACGAGAACTTTCACTTAGTACATTTATTATTTATTTATTTTATTTAATAGGTAATTATTACAAACAAATTAGCTTACTTTATCCGATGTGGCTAGGCCGAAGGCCTTTAAGCCATTACAAGAGAAACTATCTACAATTTAGAGAGATAGATACACAGAGTCTACGTACGCCAATATGAGTAGCTAGGGACACTGATAGGAAAAAGCTACTTTTTTAAGATACACTCCGCCAAAATATAGAAAAACTACACACTTTTCGACTTTGCTGGATTTATTTTCATTATTTTCATCTGCGCCCATTTTTCTAACCTATCTACGTCATTTTGCAAGGTCCAGACATCTTTGACGGCCGCCCGAAACATTCTGTAGATTATACAATCATCAGTAAAACGTGTAGAGTACATTCAATGCCCTCACAGATGGCGATTGTGTAACCAAGAAACAAGAGGTCCTAACACACTTCAACAAAAATCGGAGCAGCGCTATTTATATAAGCGAACTTTTCTCCATCCAAAAAATTAATAAAAAAATGGAGCCATTTTTGAGGTAAGTTTGAAAATATGGTTGGTGGCTTGATGTAAAGAACCCCCAAACACCAAAAAAATCCACTCCAAATGGAAGGGACTGCGACATCAGCCAGATAGAACAGAGAATATTAATTTCGATGAGAAAACTACTTAGGGTTTAATACTAGTCACAGATGGACACATTTTCCTGCTAACTTATTTTTCCGTTCAATCAAGAAACCACAAAACGTGGAATTTGATAATGCAAGATTTTATAGGAAGTTATTTACTATACATAGGAACACGAATTCTTCAGTTTTCAGCATCAGGGACCTACAATATGATTTTCTGCCGAAATATTACCGTTTTTCTCAACAGCGTTACATTACATTCTCTATACTATGTAAATAGTACGCGAATATGTAAAAAAAATATTTTATTTAGAAAGCCTAGCTATTGAATATACTGTACACAATTAAAAGAGGTTATTTTGATTTTTTATTAATATGAACAGTACTCCATTATTTGAAACCATTTTATCATTTCACGTCATGGCGACGTAATGACACCTGTCGCAAATTGACTGCATGCCGTCATTCATGCCAGTAGTTCTAAAACAAAATGGGACAAAGTCAGAAAAAAGAAATTCAAGTGACAAACCTCTTACTTTTCGTCGCCAGGTGGACGTTTCACGAATTCGAACGAAGCAGCAAAACGCTAAGCATGCTCGAGCGAGTTTAGATTCTTGTTGCCGTTGCCTGATAACGGCCACAGCGCATGCGCGGAGCCCTCGCGCTCTGTCTGAGCACGCAAGCGCTCCGCCTCATGCTTCCCCATCGCACCAGCAGCAGTGCGTTGCAGCTCCGCAAGCGCTCGGCCAAAATACTCTGCCAGGCGAAGCTCACACTGCATCGAAGCTACAACTCGATGTGGAAATACGCGTTTTCCATTTTCGGTAGTTCTTTTCAACGACTTTCAAAACGAAGCTTGCGGTCGCAAATTGTCGATCCGTCCAGTAGCGCCTAAAATTTTTGGAAATGCTCTAAGCAAAAAAATCGAATTCATGATTCTCTAGTCTCTTCTTATAATATGATATACTTTAATTTTGTTGTTTGAGATCTTGTACAATTGTGACAGGATCGTTACTTTGGTTTGTGCAATACCCATTTCACATGTCGATCCATGCATTTCGAATATAGAATATTGCAGAAGAGTTCATAATTTTCTTTGTAATGATCAATAATATTAACATTTTATTTCGACTTTTCCTCAACAATATACCCATCAAAGTTATTTACAATTAATGTATTCGACAAGAGCATTATATGAGTCTTCCTTAAAATAACTCAATGCGAATTTTCTTGCATGGCTGGCATATTTGAGAAAAAATACGAGTAGTCGCTAAGATAATATATGTACAGGTGCGTCAGAGAAACTTACTTATTTGAAAAAATTCCCGCGCGGTGAGTATATTATATACCGTTAGAAAATAAGCTCTCGACTGCGAAGGCCCGCTGCTCTCTAGTCCACAGTATGATGGCAACTGACTGGAAGGAGAAAAAAAACTTGGGAACTTCCCCCTCCAGATACGCCCCCTCTCGCCCCTCTAACCACCCAACTCACCGCGCGGGAATTTTTTCAAATAAGTAAGTTTCTCTGGCGCAACCTGTATAAGTTCAGAAAATAGATACGTTTTCCCGTCTTCTGTCATTATCAACGTGTTTTGGACATCAACATTTTGGAGGCCAACGCTTGAATAACAAGGTTCAGTTTTCAGAGATATATTAATTTAAGAAAGCTAGAGACCTCAACATTTCCTACAGTAATGGTGATTTTATTCCTACAGTAATAATACCTACAGTACTGCGATCTAGGCATTAAATCCCTAAATTTAGGTAGAAAATTGGTCTTCTTGCGTCCTCCAGTCAGTTGGTCCCTTTGCCACGTAAAATACGCAGGTGATTCGTGGGAAGTCCAACCCACGTTGCCGTAAGTAGTATGAAGCAAGATCCACAATTTAAAAACTGTAAAAAATATTTTAGCCATCTTGGTTGTCTAAAGTCAAACTTTACAGAACTGATCAGTTTCTTCATAGGAGATAAGCCCTGAGTGAAAGTGTGATTAATATGAAAACGAAAAAGGGCAATTGTTGTAATCATGATGTAAGACAAGTGCATATAAATTAGAAATAATAACAATAGCATAAGCAAATTAGCTTTAGAGAATCCTGCATGTTAAGATAGAACATTAGGAAACTAATGTACAAATTATGAGCATAATAAATTAAATGCTATATTAACAGTTTGTAAAATTTAGAAGATTAATTTTTAAATGCAATCGGAGTTTTCGTGGGAATTTTGAAAAAGTGGATACAAATTTATAAGATATTCTTATCATAAAACGTTCTACAAAACTCGAAATATCACACTCGTCCTAAAAGTCTGTTTTGATATTTCTTTTATCACATAAATTGCCATTAGATGCCTTACGTACGTACTTTGTAAATAACTATTAAATGTAACTTAAAATAGTTGGCGTCGCTAACTTTCTTAGTTATGCTCAATGAATCCACGGAGGTTAAGCAAATCCCAGACATCGCCGGCTCCTTGTTAGGTGGCTGTCAGGGGAACCCCGGGCTGTAACTCCGCTGAGCCCCTGGATGAAAGGATACAAGGTAATGGCTGCGGGTGACGATGACTGACTTGAAGAAAAGAGGATTACTCCAAACGTTCGAAGCCAGTACAGGTACATTATTTCGTTGACTAAACAACGCCGTTATGCTATGTAACAGAACTTTAAAAAAAGTGTATTTGTGAGAAAAAATGTAAGGAAATAAGTTGTCATCTAGTTGCAAACCCGTACGCGGAGGGGTAGCACAGCATTGTTAAAAAACAATAGCAATTGAAAATGTTTGAGAAATGGAAATATGTGAAAACATACAACGTTTAGGTTGGTAAAATTGGTCGCTCATCTTACTGTTCGCCAAAACACTTCACCTCTACTCCCTCACGTCCAAATTCCTGTCGAGACTTTAGCCTCCGGCATGCACAACTCACATAAACAACTTTGAGTGGGAAATGCATAATTCCGAACGCTTTTTTACGCCAAAATACTTCGAGTGACAAGTTACCGGGCGTGTGTTGAGTGGGGGAAAAAAAGCGTAGTCGTTCGTACAATTCAGGCCTTCGTAGGACTTTGGTGGCCGCGTGAGCAGCGCTCCCTCCGTCGCCCCCCCCCCTGCGTGCAGCGCGCACGCTCCTATCGATTTCGCCGTCGAGGCAGCCGGGGAAAAGGAGGCTCGATTTCTGGGGCTCTGGGGCACGCGGGCCGCCACAGACTCGCGCCCACCCGCTCCGCGCAGACCTGTCAGTCGGTTACCTGCCACTGACGCCTCTTGCGGACTCGACACTGAGAAGCCGCAACTTCACATTTAAAAAAAATATATATTTACTGCCTGTTCAACTATGATATAAAATTTCAGGCTGTTAAAAATATTGATTCGGCAATCTACCATCAATTTGATACAATTAGTTACCTATTATTATTATTAGTTTTTAAACTCTTAGATTAACGAATAAATAATATTAAAAATGGTGATGAAAAAGAGTTGAAGATTGTAAATATTTGCAGCGTAAAGATTGTGTTTAAAATTTCACAAAAAGAAAATTATGGAGGGTGAAACATTCTTTAGGGAATCTTGAACGAATGCCGAGCGTTTCATAGTGTTGATCTAAATGAAAGTTTTTTAAGGCAGGCGAAAACTATTTTAAAAGAAAGATTATCGACTTCCATAGCCTACTGTACCGCCTTTTGCGAGACGAATGCCATTTTTAAGCCTTTTACAACGTTTTGTGACATTTTTTATTCATTATTAAACGTTAAAAAATACCAACTTCGCGAAGGAAATAGGTTCGAAGAAGTGCGTTACGTACAATATTTTCCATAATGTGTGATCCAGTGTAACAAATATAATATTTGTTACTTTACAAAAAATGTGTAACTCGTCGCAAAACGGGGACAATTGATCAGAAGACAATTCTCTTAACAATTTGAATGTACAGTTAATGTGTTTAGACGAAGAAAACAAAAACCACTGACGTAGTAATTTAATAGACGAAAACCTGGAATCTTGCGAAGTTGTCATTCCGAACTGAAAGGCAATTTGTAACGATTTAGCGTTCAGAGATCTAGTCAGTGTAATCGATCATCCTTTATGCTTTAGGGTAGTAGAGATCCTCCCTCCAAATCATCGATCTGCGTAGAGGAGAGTTCCTCTATGCACAGGCATTGAGGCTAGTTGGCGGTGTCGTACTAGCTAATGAAGCAATGCCTCACGCTTACTTAGTCCCTTTACTACCAACATGCAAACGAACGCTTGCATAATATCGTGAGCGTTTGACTAGCGTTGAAAAATAGCAGATAAAACGCGATGAAATCATGCACCAATTCCAAACGCGTTTTAAATGGTGCGAGCACTGGAATTCGAGAGCACACTCACGTCCAGCCACTACTGCACCGAGGGTGCTTCATCATCTCTCTCGACCTATCGCTGTTCGTGCATTCGGAAACGCTCACCGTTCATGGTTCAGCATCTCCGATCGAGCTCATCGACCACGTTCAGCGCAATCATTTCGATTTCCGGAATCGGAATTATTTGCATAATCGTAGTTGCAGCTCCGCGGTTTGGCTCCGGATGATACTCACGGCCCCGTTCGCGAAGGCACGATTACAGTCAGTTCTAGGAAAAAAGTTCGGATGCGCACAGCTCATTCCAGTTTCAAATTATGTCACTGCTGCTTGAACTTCAAAATAAGATACAATTTTTCCAGAAATGTTATTTTTATTGGAGAGATATCCCGTGAAAACACTGTTCTTTATTTACTTCGAGAATTTGTTAAGCTTTATTTTTCAAAAACCTAACACTTTCATAAACCTTGCGCTGATAAACGTACTATTGAGATGTAAAGAACTGTTGTAACTGCTGTGCTGTACTGTACTGTACTGCTCTATGTTATTGCAGTACTATTGAAGACTGTTTTATTTATATTACTGGTGTTATACAAGAGTGTTTTATTTGTGGTTTTTAAGAAGTGTGCTTGCTTCGTTTTGGAAAACCATTTTGTAAAGTTCTGTTCAGCAGCAGTTTTTTGGTGCTGCAGGCCACGATTTGGCCCATATTTACGCCATCGTAATTAATGAATTGTTCCGATATTACACTTACGTTGTCGAGTAAACTTTGCCAGCCACATATTCAGTAAACTATTATCCATGTCAACGGATTCTACGAGTTGGGATCTGGCTGCGAAGAACATCAGAAGTCTTCGTGACAACGGGATAGATTGCAACTCTGCCAAAAATACCTGCCAGTTATACGGCGATTTTTCGAACTCTGCTTCTAGCAGGTATCAGCTGTTGGCAGTTTCATGTAATCGGGAGCTCCAAGCAGGGATCTTGAGAGTCACTGGTGACGTTCAAGCTTCCGATTGGATGAAACCGTCAACAGTAGATACCTGCCAGGGGCAGAGTTGGAAAAATCGCAGTATATTTTTCGTTCATTCCTTTCATATGTAGTATTTGATGAGTCAATACGTCCTTCAGTTTTTTCTAATTTACTTCTTACACATAGGTAAACATTTGATATTTTATTTCGTGTAGCAGCTTTAATTGGTCAGTTTGCAACCTTTAAACATTGTTGCTTGGAATCGTATTACGACGTTCATTATAATATCCACAGAACGTACAACAATTGATTTGACATCTTATGACCTGAATTAATTGCCCACAAAAGTTTTTGTGCATTGGGACCAAAATATTGTTACATTTTGCAGAATTCAGATTCACATTATGTGAAACATTGCTCAACAAACATTGCTCAATTCAGTAGTAGCAGCAGAAATCTCTTGATA